TGCATCTACTCAATCGCTTCACCTTGGTTTGGAAATTTTGTCCATCTTCAAGCATTATGAAACAAATCATCGACTCACTGCCCTTCATGGAGGAGTTTTCGTCACTCGTCTTGCAAAGTATTTCAGAGTTGACTTCTTAGTCGTGCGATTTCCCTTGGATAGTAGGACCACTCCTATATCCTTTGACATCTTGAAATCCAGAACTAAAGTGTTACATTTGAATGACGATGGCATTTGGGAAGTACATGAACTTCCGTTTCCAACCACTAACACGTTGGATATGGAGGGTACCGTATTCTGTCTTTTGGAAGCTACGATGGTAAGAGGACGAAGAGAACTAGTCAATGAGGAAGAAAGCATGTATGAGGGAGGAGAGTTGCATCCATCCACTTCTCATCTTGTTCCCCATCATTCAACCATGCAAGGGAGTTCTGAGTCGAAGCAATGGTAGCGGCGATCCTTCACAATCAAAGAAGGGAGAAGGAAGCGCGACTCCATATCATGGCGTGCATCCATGCTATAATGAAGAAGATGAATATACCAATTGAAGATGTATCGCCCCAACTTATTCGCTCACCTCCCCTTTTGCCATTCCAAGAAGAAGAAGAAGAAGGACCCTCCGAGGAGGATTAAGTACTAGGCATCCAAGGCATAAGTTCTATCTTTTTGTTTTATTTGCTCTTCTTTCTTTTCTTTAAACAATTTTTAATTATTGCTTTCTTTTTGCTTTAATTTTCGTACTTTAAATATTCTCGTATTAGTAGTATCTGTACTTATATTATCTACTTATCATACATATGTCTTATAATCGTCTTCCTCTCTTTCTTATGAGCTTTATCATTGTGAAAACCACTAGGAAGAAAAAGACCTACACACTTGTACCTTCACCAACCCACAACCAACCTATGGTAACCTTTATGATCTTCTCTTTTGAAACTCTCACATTGAGGACACTGTGTTGCTCAAGTGTGGGGAGATGTGTGTGAATGCTTGAATGATTATCATGATTGATTGAGCCATGAATCATTAGTATCCTCCATTGATTGTGAATGTAAGACGTTGATGATTGGTTATGGGAATCTATGCTAGCGAGTGTGAGCGTTTTTGGTGTTGAATGGTTTATTGATTGTCTTTTGGAACCTAGAATGCAATACCCAAATTTTTTCAAATTTGAGGGTTCCAAAACACCTTATTTCTTGTTAGGGAGTAGTTGCATGGTTAGAGTTCCGGTGTATGAGAGGTTTTGCTCTCTTCTTCCTCTTTGGTGAGTTGATAATGTTTGCTATTTTAGGAAGAACATGTGTGCGGGATTCTCCATCATTTTTTAACTCGGAACTCTTACAAATTTGTGCTCAATTTTGAAAAAAATATATTTTGAAAAAGAGGTTCTCACCCGAGAGGCAACCGAGCATTATTTTTAAATAAATTCTCTCGGCTCGGAGTGCCATTTGAGGATGTGTTTAGGGATCAGATCGCTTTGCCGCGTCCCGACCATCTTTCACTACTTACCATCCCCCAAACACCTTTCCTCCTCATGGAATCGTATGAAAAGGTAGAAAGTACCTTTTAACGATTCAAGAGACCTCAACTCTCGTTTGTATCCAACATTAGTTGCAACCCAATGTCGAGTGCAGGCTGGGAAGTGGTGCAAGGGCTAAAGACGAATCCGCCCATCAACTTCCTTACATGGGACCTTGATAGGGAAGGAAATGATCCATCCGCTCTTGGTCATGAGGGGAGAGATTCTTTCTAGCAAAAAAATGTTTGCAAGAGTTTGGTGCAATGCACGTCAACGTTGAAAATAGAGACCAATAAAAGTTAACTCCTAAATTGGAAGAAATATTAAAGGGCACTGCAAGAGTTCTTGTGCTTAATTGTTGTTGAGGAGTCCCCTGGTGCACACCTTGAATGTTCATCCGAAGGTAGTACGTATGGTCTTCACCAAGGAGTTTTTGCTTGCACAGTAAGATGATAGGGATGGCAATGCCCCATCCGCTCTTGGTCATGAGGGGAGAGATGCTTTCTAGTAAAAAATGTTTACAAAAGTTTGGTGCAATGCACGTCAACGTTTACTCGTCTCCATCTACTTTTCTTTACGCAAGGAAGAACTAGAGTGCACCCCCCGTTGATTTGTCAATTAAGTTGTATTGGTTTGAGTAGGATTGCTTGGGGACAAGCAAATGCCTAAGTGTGAGGGAGTTTGATAACACCAAAATTGGTGTTATTTGTCCTTCATATTTAGGTTTTTTCCTGCTAATTCATGTACATAATCAAAAGAATATCATCAATTGCATCCCTATTTCATTCCTATTTGATTATATCGTGATTTTAGGGTCCTGATAAACCGTTATTTGTACATGATATTTCCCACTAATCTTGAACCGTTTGAGATTTGGTTCTAGTGTTTGAAGCCGATTTCACACTAGGTTGTGCTTTTATGTCATATTTCAGGCCTTAGAGCAGAAAGGAAGACTTAGAGGCGAGTTTTGGGTCAAAAGCACCAAGGGAACGGAAGGAGAAGTGCAACGTGCAAAGGGCAAAACCCCTGGTATGGTCATCAAAAACCCGGTCGGGGAAATGGCTAAGAGGTAGGGGAATCGCTCCAGAGATTTTACCCAATCCGGACCAGTTCCCCAACCGGCTAATTTCAGAGGGAGACTAGGTTTTAAACAACAGGTTGCGCATCGTTTCGCTATTACCCGGCAGGTTTGCCTTAAACTCGATCGGGTATTTGGATCGGGTTTCGGGTAGAGGAGTTGTTAGATGCGATTTATGGGTTCTTTGAGCAATCAATCAAGTTCTGGAGAAAGAGAATGAAACCTAGAGAGAGAAAACAATGAACTAAACCTCCAAAGTGACCTAGATTGAGTTTTGAAGCCATTGGAGCTCGATTGAAGCTTGGAGAAGTGGCGATTGCCAACCAGAAGCCGATTTTCATCCTCCACATTATGATTTCGGCATCTAAACCTGATTTCTCTTTTCTTTCTATGGAGTAAACTCTCTCTCTCACCTGGGTATGAAGAACCCTAGATATGTATGTTAGGTTTGGTTGTATGAACCCAAGTACATGATCTTTTGACATTAATTATATTCAATTGAGGCATGATTTTTAGAATTGCATGAATCCTGATCAAATTCTTGTATTTTCTGCTTTGACCTAGAAAGAGAATATTTGCCTAGGTTGATAGAGCACCCTTAATTTAAGGTGGAGAATTGACTACTTTAGTCGAGGAGTCAATTCTCTGCTCTGTACCGAATTTACTCTAGTAGAGGAGGTTTTGCACGTTAGGGCCTCAGTTGGTTTACTCTGGTGGAGGTTAGTCGCCCGCCGGGTATTCAGATTTAGAAGGTCTGGATACCTATAGTCAATACTTCATTCTGAATAAGAATCTTTCGTAGTATAATTGTCATTAAATCTGGACATGGTGAATTACAACTCGACTTAACTGCAATCTAGGGGGAACCATATCTAGGTGACCTCTCTCAAACTTGAACTACAACCTTTACTGTTTCGTGTTTGTTTAGTTTAGTTGTAATCTCACTACAGTTAAATCTCTAGTTAACAAAAACTTCACGGAGCAGTCATCACATCTAGGACCCGGGATGACAATTAAAGCAAAACCTGCTATACTACGCATTAGTAGGTGGTTATACTAGGCCACTTTCTAGTGTATCGGTATAAGATAGTCAAGTTTTTGGCGCCGTTGCCGGGGACGGCTAGGTTGCTGAAGAAACGTTATTTTTGTTACTTTAGCATTTCTTTTCTACATTGATTGGTTTGATTTCTCACACTTTAGACTTCACGGGTTTGCTGCTTAGCTGTGTGCAGGTAGTGCATGACCCCTAGCCAGTCGGGAGCATTACTACCGTTAGATCTGGAGCTAGAACGCACTTGTTGCCAGCTTAGGAGAGTGCAACGAGCGAGACTGGCTATGACAGAAGAATAGGTTAACGGTTGGATTAGCAGCGACTCCGAGGAGGAGGACGATATGGGAGACGAGAACAACCTGAATCAGGGACTGCCCATGAGGATGCCCCTCCAGATCCCTCTAGTGAATCAAGTCCCACCTAATGGCGGTATTCCACAAGCAGACGCTGCCAACCATTAGCCGCCTCCCCAGGGGCCCACTATGGAGTACTTCTACACTCCACGAATTGCTGACATCCGCCCAATCATCCAGTACCCGCCCATCCCTGCCAACAACTTTGAGATCAAGCCATGCTGGATCCAGTTGATTACATCTTCCATCCAATTCCATAGGCTCACGGATGAAGAGGCGAGGGTGCACCTTTCTCGATTCTTGCATCTAACCAATGGGTTCAAGCTGAATGGCATCCCAGATGACGCGATCCATCTTCACCTCTTCCCCCACTCTCTGGCGAGGCATGCAAAGAGGTGGCTAGAGACTCAGTCGCCACTGTCCATCACTTCTTGGGATGATCTGGCCAACAAGTTCATGCACAGGTACTATCCAGCCTCAAAGACCTCAGAGATTCAGCGGGAGATCACTCGTTTCCGCCAAGAAGATTATGAGTCGCTGCAAGATGCTTCGGAGCAGTACTCGAGGCAGTTTTGGAAGTCTCTCCATCCCGACTTTAGTGATGCATTCACTGTGGGGAACTTCTATAGTGCTATGTCTCTAGAGAGTCAGAGATTGATTGAGTCTTTATGTCCAGGTGGAGACATTTCACTAAAACTCCACCCGAGATGAATAAGATGATCAGTACTTTAGCTATCAGAGATCATTCTTGGGGTAGATCACCAAAGGTAGTAACTCTCGAGACTGCGCATGCCATGGAGGCAAGATCAGGACATGAGCAAGAGGTGGCAGAGCTGGTTAAAACATTGAAGCAGCCTAACAACCTCATACCAGGCAGAGGAATGGCTGCACCTCCTGTAGCACAGTGCCAGTGGGGTGAGAGTTCAAACCATTTGGTTGAAGATTGTCAGGCTATGCGGGAGTCCTCCACCCACCAGGAACAGCTGGACTTCATTGCCAATGCTCGGCGCATTGACCCCCTACAGTGGTACCTATAATGAGGGGTGGCGCCGACATCCCAATTTCTCCAGGAATGGCAACAACTACAGCAGGCCTAAGCCTCCCGGATTCACCGCACCAACTAAGGTTTTAGCAGAGGCAGCAGTACCAGACCCGACAGGGTCCATTTTCGCAGCAACAATCGTTCCACGCAAGATAGGGGAACCCTTCCAGCAGCAGCAGAGGCAATTCCCACAGCCAGCAGTAGCCCTAGTACAGGGTGACCAGATGTCTGAGCGGAAAAACATGGTGACGGCTTTCGTGAGCACCAGCATAGAGAAGTTTGCCAGGATGGACCAGTTCATGAAATTTTCTATGAGGAAATTCGATGCACTAGAGGCATGCCAGAGAAACCAGAATGCCATTTTGAAGGACCTCCAGAATCAGATTGGAGGGATAGCTCGAAACAACATCACCAGGGCACCGGGAACTCTACATGCCAACACCATCCCAAATCCTCGCGAGCCTCACCAGCAGTTGGATGCCATTACTACTAGAAGTGGCAAGACGACGTCTGTTGTTCCTGCTCTGGCCAGGCAGGAGGAACCAATACCTGTTCCAGCACTTCCGGCTGAAGATGAAGAGGTGGGGATAGAGAAGGAAGCGCCTGCTCCCAAGCCACAACCAGTGGTTAAGGAGCATGTTCCCTAGCTTCCCTTCTCCAGTCTTATGCACAAGGACAAGCTGGAGACTGAGTTTGCCAAGTTGATGGCATTGTCGAAGCATCAACATGCCGTTCGTGGAGGCACTGTCGAAGATGCCCAATTACGGGAAATTCATGAAGGACCTCCTCACCAACAAAAAGAAATTTGGGGATCTATCGACACTGATGCTGAGTGAGGAGTGTTCTGCAATCCTGCAGAACAATCTGCGAGAGAAGCGCAAAGACCCATGGAGTTTTACTATCCCTCTTGTTATTGGCACCATGCATGTAGGAAAGTCCTTGGTGGACCTAGGCTCTAGCATCAATGTAATGCCTTATAAAATATTTAAGAAGCTAGGCCTAGTTGAACCTAGAACCACTAGGATAAGTATTCAATTAGCTGATCGATCGATTGTGAATCCTAGGGGTATCATAAAAGACTTGCTTGTTAATGTGAGTGCATTAACATATCCTGTTGATTTTGTTATCTTGGATATAAATGAGGATGTGGACGTGCCTTTGATTTTGGGTAGACCATTTCTCGCCACTGCCAAGGCGTTGATTGATGTGCATAGTGGCAAGTTAATTTTGCGAGTTGGGGATGAACAAGCTACATTTTCTGTGTCTAACAATGCGAAACATTCCCATATGCATGATGACTTGGATTACTGTGACATTATTGCTGATTTTGAGACCACACTCGCCATCACGAGTGCGGGTACTAACGATGTTCTTGAGCGTTGTATTTTTCTAGGTGAGCAGGCATCGCAGGAGCTGCAGCTACAAGAGCAATTGGTCGCGCTCGAGCATTGCGAATTCCTGGAGGTCGAGAAGTCGTTCAAGCCGATCTCATCCTCGACTCGTATCACCACCTCTCTAGAGGAGCCACCAGAACTGGAGCTGAAGCCCCTCCCTCCTCACTTGGAGTATGCATTTCTTTGGGAGGGGAACAAGCTTCCAATTATCATCAGCTCGATCCTCACACCCGAGAAGAAGATCAGACTGGTGGCCTTGCTGAAGTAGTACGAGCGAGCTATGGCATGGAAGATCACTGATATTCGAGGTATCAACCCTTCCTTCTGTTCCCACCGAATATTTCTAAGGGATGAGATTCAGTCGGTGAGACAGCCCTAGCAGAGATTGACACCAAACCTGGAGGTTGTGGTTCGAGTGTAGATTATCAAGTTGACGGACGCGAGAATTATCTTCACCATTTTTTACAGCGAGTGGGATGACCGTGGTCCTAAATGAGAAGAATGAGCTCATCCTGATGCGCACGGTGACCGGGTACCGCGTCTGCATCGACTATCGCCGCCTCAACGACGCCACCCGGAAGGATCACTTCCCTCTGCCATTCATTGATCAGATGCTCGAGAGGTTGGCAGGGCACGAGTTCTACTTTTTCCTGTATGGAATGTCTGGGTATTTTCAGATTCCCATAGCACCGGATGACCAGGAGAAGACCACCTTCACCTGTCCTTTCGACACATTTGCTTACCGGAGAATCCCATTTGGGCTTTGCAACGCCCCCGTCACATTCCAGAGGTGTATGCTTGCCACCTTCGACCGTCTGGTCGGAGAAATCATGGAGGTGTTCATGGACGATTTTTTGGTTTATGGAGACTCATTCTCTCACTATCTCCATAACATGGAACTTGTCTTGAAAAGGTGTGAGGAGACGAACCTGGCGCTGAGTTGGGAGAAGTGTCACTTCATGGTTCGCGAAGGCATAGTTTTGGGGCATAAGATCTCCAAGATGCGAATGGAGGTGGACAGAGCCAAAATCGAGACAATCAGCAAGTTGCCTCCTCCCACATCTGTAAAGGGGATTCGCAGTTCCTTGTGCCATGCAGGGTTCTATAGGCGGTTACTCAAGGACTTCTCGAAGATCGCCTTGCCCCTAACGAAGTTCCTTGAGAAGGATTCCCCCTTCCATTTCACTGGCGCATGCACATCAACATTCCCAACCTTGAAGGAGAAGCTTACTCATGCTCCTATCTTGTTTACTTCTGATTGGACCTTACCATTTGAGCTGATGTGCGGCGCAAGTGACTTCACCGTTGGAGCTGTCTTGGGGCAGAGGACAGACCAGCATTTCTGGCCTATCTACTATGCCTTGAAGACCATCAATGATGCCCAAGAGAACTATACCTGCATAGAGAAGGAGTTGCTAGCGGTGGTGTTCGCCTTCGACAAGTTTCATCCTTATCTGGGCTTGTCCCGCGTGATAGTGTACACGGATCACTCCGCCATAAGATACCTGATGAGCAAGGCCGATTCCAAGCCTCAGCTGATATGATGGATCTTGTTACTGTAGGAGTTTGACATCGAGATCTGGAACAAGAAGGGAGCTGAAATGTTGCTACTGATCATCTCTCCCAGTTTGACGCACCTCCTGCGGACAAATTCGAGGAGGAGATCAACTACTCGTTTCCATATGAGCGATTGATGATGATGTGCTTGGTGGAGAGTGTCACCCCTTGGTTCTAAGATTTCGTGAACTATCTGGTGGGCTAGCAGCTGCCCAGGGGGATGATGACTCACGCAAAGAGGAAGTTTAACTCCGACATGAAGCACTACTTCTGGGAAGACCCGCACCTTTTCAGGATCGGAGCCAACGCGATCATTCGTCGCTGTGTCATGGACTATGAGATGGAGAGCATTCTATATCATTTCCATGAGGGACCGACTAGCGGGCACCATGGCGGTAACTGCACGGCGAGGAAGGTACTGCAGTTGGGTTTCTACTGGCCCTCGTCCTTCAAGGATGTCGGCGCCTTCGCACGCAGGTGCGACCGCTGCCATAGGTCAGGTAACATTTCTGCCCATGATGAGATGCCCCAGAATGTGTTTATTACCTGTGAAATTTTTGATGTATGGGGTATCGATTTCATGGGCCCGTTTCTTCCATCTTTCGGTAATCTGTACATTCTGGTTTTTGTTGATTACGTCTCTAGGTGGGCCGAAGCACAGGCTTTGCACACCAATGATGCTATATGTGCTTGCCAGTTTCTTAAGCAGCTGTTCTCCCGGTTCGGGATGCCTAGAGCCATCGTTAGCGGCAGAGGCATCCATTTTCAGGGCCAATTCGATAAGCTCCTCTCTTGCTATGTTGTCACTCACAAGGTGTCCGTAGCCTACCACCCCCAAACAAGTGGCCAGACTGAGCTGACGAATCAGGAGTTTAAGCGCATAATTGAGAAGAGGGTGGATCAATCTCGCAAGGATTGCTCCACCAAGCTTGATGATGCTCTTTGGGAATACAAGACTGCCTATAAGACGCTCATCGGTACTTTGCCGTATCGGCATATCTATGAAAAGGCATGTCAGTTGCCTGTTCAGTTAGATGAGCACCAGACCTTCTGGGCCCTTGAGCTGTTAAACTTGGATGTGAGTCTTGCAGATGTTGAACGCAAGATGCAGATGCTGGAGATGGAGGAATGGTGCTACCATGCCTATGAGAACACCAACTATACAAGGAGCGAACGAAGCGTCTTCACTACGCTCGATTAAGGAGCCTGAAGGAGTTTCAGGTTGGCGATCGAGTTCTTTAATATAACTCTCGCCTAAAACTCTTTCCTGGAAAGCTCCGATCCAAGTGGTCTAGACCGTTTACGGTCACACACGAGTTCCCGTATGGCACAATCTTGATCACCACTCCGTAAACATCGCCGTTTAAAGTCAATGGCCATCGCCTCAAGCTGTATCTGGGAGGCGAGGTCGAACATGCGGAGTTGGTGGTTGAACTCACGGACCCTTAGTTCCGTAGGCTGCGTCTAGCTCAAGACGTAAAAGAAAGCGTTTGTGGGGAGGCAACCCCGCCACGGTTTGCATTTATTTTTCCCTTTTCTCATTTTTTTTGGGTGTGGTCTTGTCGAGTCAATCGGTGTGAATGATGAAGTCTAGTCGTCAGTTATTCGTCTTTCTGGAATGATTGGGCTTCGGGGTGGCCGTGAGATACTTTGCTTTGTTGATTTTGCGGTTTTTGTCAAAAACCCGGTCAACCCCTGCAAAAACCCGACTGAGTTTCAGGCCTCAGCGACGGGGGAAAATCTCAGGACCTGAAACCCGGTCTGAGGCCCCCAATCCCCGATTGGGGAATTTTGAAGAGAGAGAGCGGGTTTTCGGTGGTTAAAAAAGGCCTTCGGTCCATTTCCCCGATCGGGAAATTTAAAACCCGACCGGGCTTTCAACTTTATAAGCCCGAATCCATAGTCTTCTCCTCCTTGATTGCTCCAGGGAGTCTCGGGGTAATACCACTCGGATGGTGGTGGATACCCCCAATGGTTGGAGAAGCCATGAGGATCCATGACTCAGATCTGCACCAACAAAAACAAAAACACCCAAGTGAAAAGCAAGGGTGGAAAAGAAAAGAAAAGAAAAACGCTAAAGTAACAAACTTTTGCCTTTCCTAATAATCTAGAAAGTCCCCGGCAACGGCGCCAAAAACTTGACACGCCAAAACACAACACCAATCTGCGACCAAGTGTAATCGCAGACCGGGAATGCAGTAACAGGCAAGTTATATTATCAACCCGGGCTCTAGATCTACTGCTTACTCAGTGATTCTCTGTTATCTAGCCAACTAAAGTAAGTGATTGTTGTTTAAACTAAAAGCAGAAATAAAGCAGGAATTTATTCGGTTTTCTTAAGCAGGAAAGAGTCACTCGGGAATGAATCCCCCTAGCTCCTTAGTTAGGTTCAATTGCAATTTCCCCTGGGTTGATTTACTGTTGATTAGACTGCGGAAGATCCGACAGTAGCTTGGAATCTCTTAAGCTGACCAAGCCCTCTCAGTCTAACTATCCGGCAGACGACTAGTCTTCACCGGGATAGAAAGCTGAAGCAGTAAGAACAGAAATCCACTACAGGAATTCGATTCCAGTACAAAGCAGTAAACTGGCTAACTCTCGTATAGCCAATCTCCTACTATCGAATGATGAGACTCTAGCAACCTAATCAGATTCTATCTATCTCAGATTGCAGCAGGAATCAGGAAAAGTTGATCAGACTTCAATTGACTCAATAAACATGCATCATTCGATTAAAATCAAACAGTAATATCATCCCAAGTCATTACAATCAATCCCTAACACATAGAACTAGGGTTCTTCATCCCCAAGTGAGAGAGAGGTTCTACTCCATAGAGAGAGAGAGGAAAACAGTAATCGGAGTAGTCATACTCATAAAGATGAGGAAAATCTGCTCCGGGATGATGATTTCCACTCCTAAGACGATCTCCAAGCTTGATTTGATGAAACCCAGCTCCAAGATGGCTTCTAGGGTGAGTTCTTCGCACTTTCTCTCTCTAGGGCTCTGTTTTTGCTCAAGAAGTCCTCTTTCTTTTCATGACAAGCTTGCATGATTCTTTGTCCATAAAGTGAGGTAGAAATCCATTCTTCTTCAGGTCATACCCGAGTTTCTTCTCCCGAATCGTCAATTGATCTCTGATTGACTTGAAACTTGCGCCTATGCTGCACTTTATGTGCTAGGACCTGAAATGTGACAAAGGAACACAACCTAGCGTAAAATAGGCCAAAGACACGATAATTCAAGCTCAAATAATCAAGAAACAAAGGGGAAAACATGTGCAAATACCGAGTCATCAAATCCCCCCACACTTAACTGTTTGCTTGTCCCCAAGCAAACCTAACTCAAACCAATGCAGCTCTCCAGAGCTCTATAGCAACATAGTCCCCAGATCGTAGGTAGAGGACTTCCTAGATCGTTTAGCAGCTTACGAGGTCAACTGACACCCAAGTCATCTCATAGCTTCTTCGGCGAGAGCACTAGTATCGAGTCGGCATCATGGCAAATAGTGAACAGAGGACAAATGAATTGTGGATGAAGAGATTCTAAAAAACAAAGGATCATGGATCACATTTTTCAAGGTGCTCTATTTTCTTTGAAGATGGTTGAAACCCCTTTTCTTTCTGTTTTGCTTGTTTTCTGTTATTTTTTCTTTACTCTTTTTTTTTTCAAGGGTCCCAACCTGCTCTTACCGGCCATGCCAGGAGCGGATGTCTCGAGCCTCGTGCGGGGGAAAGACATGTAAGGGGGCTGGAGGTAGTAGGTGGAAATTGGGAACGAATTCCCGTCTCCCCTTACACACTTTCGCCCTATTCGCACGGGAGACGTTATTTTGAAGCACATTTTCGAGCACCTGCTACTTTCAAAACATGATACAAGAGTCCATGACAGGTAGAGAGTCCACAACACCACACAATTCAAGGGTCCTAAGATCACTAATTCACTCAATCAACCAACACAATATGAAGAACTAATGAGATTTCTTAAATGCATCAACATCCTCCATAGTGCTACACTACCTCCCTAGGTTGCATATTACTATAAAGACTGTCAATTCAAAGCATACTGAGCAGGCAATTGCAAGGAACACGTAACTGGAGCCCTCAAATTTAAAAATTTGGACAGTGGACTAGGCTCCAAGCACACAAACAGCCAAACATTTACCCACATACATAATCGAACATCCCCCCACACTTAAGCACGACATTGTCCTCAATGGAGGAAAGATAAGGAGGGTAGAACGAAGTTACCAGATCAAGGGTGAATGATGATGAACGGGTCAGGCGGTGCATTCCAGGAAGAGAGAGTAACCAGAACACAAACACCACACAAAATCTCACGAAGGTTGAGTTATTGACTCTAAAATCAAATAGCAAAACTGACTCAACCGAGGAGAAATAGAGAAAGAAATGAAAACCGACTGGTTGGGTTGCCTCCCAACAAGCGCTTCTTTCACGTCGTGAGCCGAACGATGGCTCCTAAGTTTCGGTCCATGCTAGAACCTCCTTGAAGTTAAGGTTCTCGTCGATGAGGTGGAGTCTCAAGTCACGAGCATGTGGTGTGGCAGGTGATGAAGGCTCGTGTACTTGATGCAGATGAAGTCTCCACCCTCGAGACCTCTTCTTCTCTTCTCTCGTCTCATTGCCCCAACCCAAATATGACAGCATCGATTGGCCACCATCGCGTCCACCAAGAGGGACCGATATTGATGTGGCCTTGGTCTGGCAAAGAGATACTGCAAATGGGTCCTTGCTAAGCAGTTCCTCAAAGTCTGGTGGGGATATTACTTGCAACTCATGGCCGGTGCAGGCCTCTTCCACCTTAACTCCGTCCTCAGCCTGGATGCCAATTGCTTCTTCAACCCCCCTTTCTTCTTCATGTGGTATCACCCCTGGGAAAAGATCAAGAACCACCTCTTTTTTTTTTCTTCCTCATCCTCCACAACTTCCTTCCTCATCCTTGCTCGCTCTTCTTCTTCTAGAACAGATTGGAGAGCAAGTCGCCAAGCAATTTCTTCAATGAGATCATCTTGCATCCCCTCGCTCGGGCCCAGCATGTTAGAGCAGAAATAAGGAATTGTGTGATCTGCAACCAGAGGACTTTCCTGATCATGATTATCATGGGAGTTCTCTGTGATAACTTCTGTATGCTCCTCAACATCCCCATAGCCTTTGTCATCCTCCACCTCTTCTAGCATGGTAGCAGAAAGGTGATCTTGAGCAAGATGTGAGCAAACTTGCTCCACCCACTCTGTTTGCTTCACTAAGCGCTGAACAGTCTCCTCCATATCATGGAGAAATGAGGGATCGGAAGCAGCAAGGGCTTTGATTTGAAGATCCATCTTGGAGCAGGCTCTCTCAGTGTCTCGAGAAAACTGCTCCACGAGAAGCCTTAATTGTTTGTTCGGATCTTCCAGTGAAGTGTAGCATGGCTCTGCAGAGTGGCCAGTGAAAGCCGTCATGGGTAACTCAAGATCTGATGGCCCTTCTTGTTGTGGGAGGAATTCTTCTTGATAAGGAGATTGTTCTTGATATGCCCAGGGGTCTGGTTGTTCTCCGTAGAAAGGGGGTTGGTACTGGAACCCGAATCCATAGTCTTCTCCTCCTTGATTGCTCCAGGGAGTCTCGGGGTAATACCACTCGGATGGTGGTGGATACCCCCAATGGTTGGAGAAGCCATGAGGATCCATGACTCAGATCTGCACCAACAAAAACAAAAACACCCAAGTGAAAAGCAAGGGTGGAAAAGAAAAGAAAAGAAAAACGCTAAAGTAACAAACTTTTGCCTTTCCTAATAATCTAGAAAGTCCCCGGCAACGGCGCCAAAAACTTGACACGCCAAAACACAACACCAATCTGCGACCAAGTGTAATCGCAGACCGGGAATGCAGTAACAGGCAAGTTATATTATCAACCCGGGCTCTAGATCTACTGCTTACTCAGTGATTCTCTGTTATCTAGCCAACTAAAGTAAGTGATTGTTGTTTAAACTAAAAGCAGAAATAAAGCAGGAATTTATTCGGTTTTCTTAAGCAGGAAAGAGTCACTCGGGAATGAATCCCCCTAGCTCCTTAGTTAGGTTCAATTGCAATTTCCCCTGGGTTGATTTACTGTTGATTAGACTGCGGAAGATCCGACAGTAGCTTGGAATCTCTTAAGCTGACCAAGCCCTCTCAGTCTAACTATCCGGCAGACGACTAGTCTTCACCGGGATAGAAAGCTGAAGCAGTAAGAACAGAAATCCACTACTGGAATTCGATTCCAGTACAAAGCAGTAAACTGGCTAACTCTCGTATAGCCAATCTCCTACTATCGAATGATGAGACTCTAGCAACCTAATCAGATTCTATCTATCTCAGATTGCAGCAGGAATCAGGAAAAGTTGATCAGACTTCAATTGACTCAATAAACATGCATCATTCGATTAAAATCAAACAGTAATATCATCCCAAGTCATTACAATCAATCCCTAACACATAGAACTAGGGTTCTTCATCCCCAAG